TACGCCAGTTCGAAAACATTTTAAAACAATGATTTATCTATACACAGAACATACTCATGTCGAATTTCATCCGGATGTACTAATTTAATAACGAATTAAGTATTATTAAATGATTTTCAGAAGTTAATCTTATATGGGAGCTAAGACAACTTATGGACCGGTCCAGAAAAAATTCCGTATAATGATTTATATACATATATACAAAATACACATTTATGTCAAATTTTATACCTATGTATAAATTGTGCGTTTAAGTAATTTTCAGAAATGGTCCTTATATGGGAATTGTGACTAATTGTGGACCGATCAGGAAACAATTTCGTTTAATGATTTATATGCAGAAAAAGATGAAGTATTATTTTACTCCAATAGCTTTATCAATCAATGAAATATGTATGTGCGTTTATGTGACTTTAGGAAGTGGACTTTATATAGGAGCTATGAGCAATTAAGGGCCTATCCGGAAAAATTTCGCAGAGTGATTCATATGTGCACAAATCATATTTTATCAAGATATGTTTATTTGAAAATGAAATATGTGCGTTTAAGCGATTTTTTGAAGTGGACCTTATATAGGAACTATTACCAAATATGGACCGATCCAGTAAAAATTTGGTAGAATGTTTTATATGCCTATCCGCAAAAAATTTCGTAGAGTGATTTATGTAAAGACAAAACATATTTGTGTCGAATTTTCTCAAGATAACTTTATTTGACAATGAAATATGTGTGTTTAAGTGACTCTCAGAAGTGGACCTTATATGGAAGCTATGACCAATAATGGACTGATCCGAGAAAAAAGTGGTAGAATGATTCATATGTACACAAAACTTCGAATTTTATCCCTATAGCTTTAGAATTCAATGAAATATATGCGTGTAAGTTATTTTCAGAAGTGGACCTTATATGGGAACTATGACCAATTATAGGCCTATTCGGGAAAAATTTCGCAGAGTGATTTATATTTGGACAAAACATGTTTGTGTCGAATTTTATCAAGATAGCTTTATTTGAGAATGAAATATGTGCTTTTAAGTGATTTTCGTAAATGGGCCTTATATGGGAGCTATGACCAATAAGGGACCGAGCAATGATTTGAATGCATGCAAAACATATTTCTGTCGAATTTTATCCCAATAGCTTTAGAATTCAATGAAAAAAGGCGTTTAAGTGATTTTTGGAAGTGGACCTTCTATGGGACCTATGACCAATTATGGCCATATTCTGAAAAAAATTCATAGAGTGATTCATGTTTAGGTAAAACATATTTGTGTCTTGGCATTGAAATATGTGCTTTTAAGTGATTTTCGGAAGTGGGCCTTATATGGGATCTATGACCAATTATGGACCGATCCGTATAAATTTTTGAAGAATGATTTGTACGTATATAAAACAGATTTGTGTCGAATTTTATCCCGATACCTTTATAATTCAATGAAATATATGCGTTTAAGTGATTTTCGGAAGTGGACCTGATATGGGAGCTATGACCAATTATGGACCTATCTGGAAAAAGTTTTTGTAGAGTGATTTATATTTAGACTAAACATATTTGTGTCGAATTTCATCAAAATAGCTTTAGTTGACAATGAAATATGAGCTTTTAAATGATTTTCGGAAGTGGGGCTTATATGGGAGCTATAAGCAATAATGGACCGATCCGTAAAAAATTTGGTAGAATAATTTGTATGTACACAAAACATATCCAACTCGAACTTTATCACAATAGCTTTATTCGTCAATGAAATATGTCCGTTTAGGTGATTTTCGGAAGTGGACCTTATATGGGAGTTATGACTAATTGTGGACCGACTGAGATCTACGTTAACAGTATGATTTCTGTTCATATTATATATACATATACAATGTATTGTATTGATACCGATATATTTTAGGGAGTTATTAACAATAAACCAATTTCCGGGAATATATACCTTTGTATGGGGGCTATGGGAAATATTCGATGGATTGTAAAGATTTTGAATATAATTGATCACGAAATATCTTTGGTAGTTTCTGAGAAAACTTCAAAAGAATTATGAAAAAAACGTAATTTTTTTCGAGGTTGTCTGAAATTTTTACTCATAACTTTTTACGTTGTGAACCGATTTTGCCGATTTTCAATACCAAACTGCTTAGGATAATAATAAATATTTTGGGTGAAGTTGGTTGATTTCCTTTACTTAGTTTTAACGTGAGCGTGTTTTACACAGACAGACGGACAGACGGACACAGCTTAATCGACTCAGAATTTGATAAGGACCCAGAATATATATACTTGTTGGGTCTTAGATGAATATGTCTTGGTGTTACACACGGAACGACAAACTTATATATACCCTCTATCACCACTTATGGTGGTGGAACTTACAAGAAATTAGTACACCTTTATTTAAATTGCCCTCACTGTTTACAAATATGTATGTATGTTTGTACATCTTTATATTTTGTATTCTTTTACATTGAATTGTTTAACTTTTGTTTGTTTGCGCTTGTTATGTTATTTATATTCCGTTATAGGGATTAATTTATTCTTGCCATCATTAAGGACATTTAACTAAACAAAGAAATACATGCTTACATTTGTAGCAACCCAACAGTTCTACAAGTATTTAGTGTATCTCCATTATACTATATACATCATCAAAATATATGGGAGTTATATTGATTTTATCATTCCCTTTGTAACATATCGAAAGCATACAACCATAAAAAATATTTATTCCGGGTCCTTGTAAAATTCTATGCCGATCAAAACATCTAGAGAAAAGGATTTAAGAAGATGAAATTTCCCCAAAATATTCTATAATGATCAGAAATGTTTGGTAATATCGGGCCACGGTTTCACATCTATGGAAAAGGACTTAGGTAGATGAAATTTTACCATGATCAGAAATGTTTAGTAATATAGGTGAACGAAACAGTTAAACAAAGATTGCAAACCTAGCTCCATATTTGACTTTTGTCCCATATAAGGTTCCCTTCAGAATATGACTTTAACGTTTATTAATGGCTTTAACGTTACAGTATAGTGATGAAATTCGCCATAAATATGTTTTTAAGGAAACGAAATCTCTCTACGCAATATTTGGACATATTCCCCATATAAGTTAACCTTAATAACGTTATTTTAACCTTTATAAGTGGCATAAAAGCACAAGTATACCAATGATGATAGAAGTCAGAATCGGATTTCGAGCAAGTCTTTAGAAAAGTGTAATTTGGTCTCTGGGCTAAAAATTTGTTTGCCACATGTAACACGTCTTGCAGAAAATAACTTTTTTTCAAGAATGCTTTTATGTAATATTCGACATGGCACTTACTTGTTTTAGAAAATGGGTTGGTTAGAACTTTATATTTTTGGCCATTTGTCACGTCACTAACATTTTTCTGACAACGGATAAGACTTAGTAAAAACTCGATTAGGCTTCTAACTGGTATAATTACTGGACACTGTATGATTGGACATATGTCGGAATGTATGGGATACCCACGTTATAGCTACTCTAGGGTCTGTTTGGACGAAGAAGTAGTGGAATCGGTACAACACCTTCTACGTGACTTTCCAGCCTTACAAGAGCCTTGATCTGGACTGTCTCAGCGATGAGTCTTACTAGTGACATGTTCGGTTTTATTAGAAATACCGGTTGGTTTCACCGATATCGCAAGAACCAAGTAGTCAATGATATTTGGGGGGGAAACAATTCTCTCAACATTAGGCAATGGTAATTCTAAGGGTATCACAATGGGCCACAAGGCCTCCGAGTGAACTCGCTAACTAGCAAGCAACCCACTTAACGTAACCTAACATTTTTCTGTGCAATGTCAATTCAAATTGTAATTTAAGTTGACTGATGACAGTTCATCTTCTTTTTATGATAGATATGTGTTAAAATGACTAGATAATTTGTAATCTATCTTAAGACAACAACTCCGAATTGCAGGGTATATAAAAACAACAACATGCACATTTTTCAAATCCTTAATTCACACATACTTTTGTACAAACAAAAATATTATTTTTTGTATGTACAAGTAAAATTTTGGAATAAATACATACAAACATACCATACATACATATGAATGTTAGATGCTAATGTTAATTGACTTTTTAGTTTCTCGTACGACAAAAAAAAAAAAAAAAACTACACAAAATATTTCCAGACCAACAGAATGAATACAAAACAAGTAAGAGTGTTATATTCGGTTGTGCCGAATCTCATATACCCACCATCAAACCGTATGCCATAAAAGGAACATGATCACTCATCAAATTAACTGACCGTTTTTCATACAATTTTTTAGACCGATTTTGGTTCATATAAACATGTTTACATCGAATAGCATCGCTGTACTCGCATTTTTATGTCAGTAATTAGCGCTAAAGTAATTTTCTCGAGGCAGGCTTATATGGGCGGATAGGGTAAGTTACCGACACTTTCCGCATGAAATTCGGTAGGAAGGTTTAAGTTTCTATAAAAGTTTCTTATATCAAATTTCATAACTGTACAGTGTACACGTATTTTTAAGCCAGAAATTATCGTTAAAGTAATTTTCGGAAGGGGACCTTATATGGGGGGTAGGGTTAATTGTGGACTGATCCGTACCAAATTTGGTAGAGAGATTTAAACTTGTATAAAACTTATATTTGATGTGTTACAAACGGAATGACAAAATCAATATACCCCCATCTTTTTTGATGGTGGGTATAAAAAAGTGAAACACACAGCATGAAATCCAAATGAATTTCAATTTGTTGTGATTTTTTGGCAGAACATGCGAAATGTTTCTCACATTTGATTGGGGTCAAAACTTTTTGTCGGGATTAATTGGTTAAATGTGTTCAAAGCCGAAACGCAATATCGAACAAAAAAAAGAAGATTTTGTTTTAAATGCTATAAAAATCAAACAATTTATTAAGTAAAAACTAGTTAACAACGGAAAATATATCTAACTAACTACGTAGAACAATTAAAAAGAATGAAACATATTAACAGCAATTACAAACGGAAGCGGAAACGACGCAACGAAGGTGGTAAATAATCAGCAGTTGGTATGGGATTAGCTGGTAAATACTGATGTCCAGGACCGGCTGGTATATGACCGGCAGACACTGGCGCTCTGGAGGCAAAATTCAAAACGGAGGCATCACCACCATTTACAGTTTGTGAGGCTCCGGGCAAGGAGTTGTATTGCTCCTGAATGGCTTTTTGAGCATTGGCAGCATCTTCAGGGGTGCGATACTTAACAAAATGTACTTCAGGTTTATTTTGCGATTGAGATTTAAGATTTTGCAATTTGTTGGCCAAATCACCGATATCAGACTGCTTAGAAAGAACATAAATAGCGGTACGTTCCTGAGCACCTTCTTTTGCCAATTTAAGAGCTGCATCCTCAAATCCTTTGTTCTCAGGTGATTTAATGAAAACTACACGTAAATTCTTTTTCAAAGCACCAGCAATTTTATTGGCCGCATCGTTATCATCGAAAGCATCTTCAGGAGCAGCATATGAGTAGAACTCTTTTTTGAACTCGGATATTAGTTGAGCAGGTTGTGGTGCAGGAGTCTCGAGTGTCTGGGCAAGCAAGTTGGAAGCATCTTGTGAAAGTCCTGGTGTAAATGAGAGGCCATCATCTGAATGTTCGACAGGTTGATAGTTGTAGCCCAATTTATCGGCACAGGTAAGGGCTACCAAGCATAAGATCTGAAAGAAAGAATATAATAGTGTTAATTTAAAAAATTTACTAAGGAATATGTGTTTCGAGGTAAAAAATGCTGTAATTATGTTTTAATTTCTTTTCTTTATTCTTAAAGTAATATAGTAATATAGTGATGCCACCTTGATTTTTAAAGGATTTGATTCTAGTTGTTTTACTATTTACTTCCTTTGTATAACAGATTAATAAGTGTGATATTATAAGTATGTATTAGTTTTGGTCAATGAACCTCCCCTTGAATGGGTTTCCTGGTATTCACACATACATACATACATCTGAAACACTTAATTTTTGCACTAAATAGTTTTTATTTATTTTTTTTTTAAATATCCAATAAATTGATGTTAATTTATTTAATTTGTATTTGATTTAAATTTAAAATATGTTTATAAAGTACAAAACTTACAATTAATCCACGCATTTTTCGTTTTACTATCAATTCCTTGAACTACACTCGAAGAAAAACAAACTTACAATGATAACTTTACTTTAAAACGACCCACTATTTATATATTTACATCAAACTATAATATTTTACATCAAGATTGGAAATATTTTGGGAAAAATACATTAATCAAATCTTCAGATTATTAGCATAAAATACATAGTTTTAACATCTTTATCTAGCAAATTTAAATTTTTTATCGATTTTATTTAAAATGTACTAAGATTTGTAAATGTTATTATAACTATATGATTTTTAATTGAATTATCAAAAGCTACAAATTCCTCAGATTCCAGCATTTTTTTAATAAAACTGCATTAACAGGTTAAATTATGAAGTTTTCATTAACAATGTTTATTATATGAAAACATAGTTAATTTTATAAAATATGTATTTATGTATGTGACACTATCATCCATGCATATAAATTATATATGTATGTAATAAAAAAAAATACAATCCCCCAACACCTGATCTACACTCAAAATAAGTTTAAGCTTTAAAAGGCTATGGCAACATTATATACAGTCGCCAAACTCTATGATCACTTACAAGAATTTTCTTTCACTGTAAAATATTTCTTGAACTAATGAACCTTAATTCCCCTGCTTTTGTTTTAAACTGTTTTGGTATATATAATTAGCTAAAACGCATTAAAAATACCTCATATTTTAAATACCGGTGCAGCTTTATTGTTTTTATATATAAATTTTTTAAATAAATGTGCAACAATCACTAATTTATAGTTTAATAGCGCCCGGACAGACACTTTTTTCAGGTAGGAATTTATTTAATTCAAATAATAAAAATAAAACTTTAAATATTAAACTAAGCGTGCGTATTATTTAAAAGTTAATTTATGTATTTTTCAGCCTACTGTTGGAGAGCAAATCATTTTATGCAAATGAATCCAATGTTGATGCCCTTAACGATGATGTATGACGTTCATACGAGAGTGTTAGAAAGGCTGGTCGAATAGCATGTGAGTGGTTACACTAAGATAATGTGTAATTAGCGGCTTCATAAATTATAAGGTCGTATGTAAAATTATTATATTAAGCGATTTAACGACAATATAAATTTGAAAAATAATTTTGTTTGCTACAGAATTCTGCTCAAACTAAAAATGGCTAAACAGACAGACAAGCCAGTTCAACAAGACGCTAATGAAACAGTAAAATTCAAGAATTTCCAGTAATGTCTGAATGTCAACTCTGAAAATGATTGTAAGACCAATTTACTCAATAGCTGATAATTTTGTAATTTACCAAACTAATACTAAATACTAATAGTCTAGACTATAGATTAGACACTATATACTAGACTATAAACTAGATATAGACTAGAATACAGACTAGACTATAGTCTACACTATAGACTAGACTATAGAATAAAAAAAATTTTAAAGCTGTTAAAAAAAATCTATAAATCGCATTTGGTAAAAGTGCCATTTTTGTTTTATTTGATGCCAACTTATAACATTTTACAATTTCGAATATAACAAGTAAGAGTGTTATATTCGGCCATGCCGAATCTTATATACCCACCATCAAATCATCCTTATTAATAAACTTTGATATTATCGATCTATGTTGAATCATATGTTGATATTAATATGAACTTCAGGGAAATATTTGGAAGAGGGCCAAGGGCCCAATATTTATAACCATAAACTGTTTTTTTTGTAAGAGTAGTTATATGGAGGGTAGAGTCAATTATGGACCTATCCTCGTCGGTTTATACAATAATTGTTTGTATCTAATGTCGCTGTAATCGTATTTTTAATTCAGTCATGAGGTTTAAAGTAATTTTCTGAAGAAAACCGAAAATGGGGGTTTGATAGTTATCGACCGATCTTCATCAAATTCAGTTCCTATAAAACTACCATAATTGGGAAGAACTTTTAAGCCATACATGAGCGTTAAAGTGATTTTCTGGAGCGAATCTTATATAAGGGTCAATTATAGACCGATTTTTATAAACTTTTGTATATAAATTATGTTCGTAAAGAAGTTGTTTATTCGTATTTCATCGCCTAAGTCGTAATTTTAAGCAACTAATGAGAGTTAAAGTAATTTTACTGAAGTGGTCATTTATCGATCCATCTTCACTAATGTCGGTAGGAAGATTTCAGTTCCCATAACATTTGTTTATGTTGAATTGCATATATCTACTCGTATTTTTATGCAGTAATGAGCGTTAAATGAGCACTTGTACGCCGATTTTTGTTCATACAAATATTGTTTATGTCGCATTTTTGAGCCAGTAATGAGCTTTAAAGTAATTTTCTAATGGGGACCTTAATAGGCGCATAGAGTAGCGGCTCATACAAAACATGTTTATGTGAAATTTCATCGCGTTACTGCCAGTAACGAGCGTTACAGTCACTATCTGAGGGGGACCTTATATGGAGGGTGGGGTCAGTTATAGACCGATTTCCATTATATTTGATAAAGAGATATTGCCCACTTTCAATAAGGACCGATACTTATAAAATTTGATAGAGAGCTTTTGGCTCGCACGAAATTTGTTTATGTATAATTTTACTTACTTACATTTTTGAGTCAGTAATGAGCGTTAAAGTCATTGTATAATGTAGTCCTTATTGGGGGGTTAGGGTCAATTATGGACCCATCCTCATAAAATTTAAAAAAATGATTTTAGTTCCTATAAAACTTTTTTATGTCGAATTTTATTGTTATGTATATGCTTCTTAAGGTAGATATGAGCATTAAAGTCCTTTTCTGAAGGGGACCTTATGGGGGGTAGGGTCAATTATGGACCGATCCTCATAAAATTCTACGAAGAGATTTATGTTCCCATAAAACATGTTTGTGCCGAATTTCACAGCTATTGATGCTTCTCTTAGCCAGTTATGGGCGATAAAGTCATTTTCTGAAGGGGACTTTATATGGGGGGTAGGGTCAATTATGGGCTATCCTTATAAAATTTTACAAGGATATTTACGTTCCAATACAACATGTTTGTGCCGAATTTCACCGCTATTGATGCTTCTCATAGCGAGTTATGGGTGATAGTCGTTTTCTGAAGGGGACTTTATATGGGGGGTAGGGTCAATTATGGACCGATCCTTATAAAATTCTACGAAGAGATTAACGTTCCCATAAAACATGTTTGTGCCGAATTTCATCGCTATTGATGCTTCTCTTAGCCAGTTATAGGCGATAAAGTCATTTTCTGAAGGGGACCTTATGGGGGGTAGGGTCAATTATGGACCGATCCTCATAAAATTCTACGAAGAGATTTATGTTCCCATAAAACATGTTTGTGCCGAATTTCACAGCTATTGATGCTTCTCTTAGCCAGTTATGGGCGATCCTCATAAAATTCTACGAAGAGATTTATGTTCCCATAAAACATGTTTGTGCCGAATTTCACAGCTATTGATGCTTCTCTTAGCCAGTTATGGGCGATAAAGTCATTTTCTGAAGGGGACTTTATATGGGGGGTAGGGTCAATTATGGGCTATCCTTATAAAATTTTACAAGGATATTTACGTTCCAATACAACATGTTTGTGCCGAATTTCACCGCTATTGATGCTTCTCATAGCGAGTTATGGGTGATAGTCGTTTTCTGAAGGGGACTTTATATGGGGGGTAGGGTCAATTATGGACCGATCCTTATAAAATTCTACGAAGAGATTAACGTTCCCATAAAACATGTTTGTGCCGAATTTCATCGCTATTGATGCTTCTCTTAGCCAGTTATAGGCGATAAAGTCATTTTCTGAAGGGGACCTTATGGGGGGTAGGGTCAATTATGGACCGATCCTCATAAAATTCTACGAAGAGATTTATGTTCCCATAAAACATGTTTGTGCCGAATTTCACAGCTATTGATGCTTCTCTTAGCCAGTTATGGGCGATAAAGTCATTTTCTGAAGGGGACTTTATATGGGGGGTAGGGTCAATTATGGGCTATCCTTATAAAATTTTACAAGGATATTTACGTTCCAATACAACATGTTTGTGCCGAATTTCACCGCTATTGATGCTTCTCATAGCGAGTTATGGGTGATAGTCGTTTTCTGAAGGGGACTTTATATGGGGGGTAGGGTCAATTATGGACCGATCCTTATAAAATTCTACGAAGAGATTAACGTTCCCATAAAACATGTTTGTGCCGAATTTCATCGCTATTGATGCTTCTCTTAGCCAGTTATAGGCGATAAAGTCATTTTCTGAAGGGGACTTTATATGGGGAATAGGGTCAATTATGGGCCTATTCTTATAAAATTTTACGAAGAGATTTATGTTCCCATAAAATATATTTGTGCTGAATTTCACCGCTATTGATGCTTCCCTTAGCCAGTTATGGGCCATAAAGTCATTTTCTGAAGGGGACTTTATATGGGTGGTAGGGTCAATTATAAAATTCTACGAAGAGATCAACGTTCCCATAAAACATGTTTGTGCCGAATTTCACCGCTATTGATGCTTCTCTTAGCCAGTTATGGGCGATAAAGTCATTTTCTGAAGGGGAATTTATATGGGGGGTAGGGTCAATTATGGACCGATCCTTATAAAATTCTACTAAGAGATTTATGTTCCCATAAAACATGTTTGTGACGAATTTCACCGCTATTGATACTTCTCTTAGCCAGTTATGGGCGATAAAGTCATTTTCTGAAGGGGGCCTTATATGGGGGCTATGCGAAATCGTGGACCGATATTGTCCATTTTCAATACCAAACAAACTGCATGAACTATAAGTATCTATGCAAAATTTCAGCTCGCTAGCTACTTGCATTTGGACTCTATCGTGTTTTCAACAGACAGACAGACAGACAGACAGACAGACAGACGGACGGGCATGGCTAGATCGTCTTAGAATTTAATAAGGACCCAGAATATATATACTTTTATGGGTCTTAGACGAATATTTCAATGTGTTACAAACGGAATGACAAAAACAATATACCCCCCATCTTTTTTGATGGTGTGTATAAAAACT